ATAATTAAGGATGTGTCAGAGTTTTCAGTTTAACAAGGGACATAGTCTTGGCTCTAGATACCTGATAGACCACCTCTCTTTCTCTCCATGCATCAGTGTAATTGTTAAGATTTCTGATGCTCGCTCGCTCTCCCTCATGGTCCATGGGTTTGGACATCTAGGCGTGTGATGTTTTCAGGGGAGGGCCTTTAACTCTGAGGTTACACCACTGATCCCACAAAGCCAGGTTATTATTTATTTTGGGTATGGCAGCAGGTGCCCTGAGACCCCAAGTAGATTTGGTGACCCCATTGTGCTAGGCACTGTACGTCCACAAAAGAAGACAAGACCTCTCCTCCAAAGGCCTTACAATCTAAATTAAGACAAGATGCAACAAGGGAGTGTAACAAATAGCAAGAGGGAAGGGGCAGAGTAAAACCATTATAATAACATGGTTACATAGGCTAACAATTGCGTAATTTGACTGCTGTGAATCAACTGAGAGGTGTTTTTCCCCACCTTTTTCTTTTTTTAAAATAAGTACAGTCTCCCACAGTATTCTTGCCAGCAAGTTAAAGAAGTATGGGATGGATGAATGGACTATAACGTGGATAGAAAGCTGGCTAGATCGTCGGGCTCAATGGGTAGTGATCAATGGCTCCGTGTCTAGTTGGCAGCCGGTTTCAAGCAGAGTGCCCCAAGGGTAGGTCTACACTACCCGCCTGAATCGGCGGGTAGAAATCGACCTCTCGGGAATCGATTTATCGCGTCTCGTTGGGACGCGACAATCGAACCCCGAATCGACGCTCTTACTCCACCAGCGGAGGTGGGAGTAAGTGCCGTCAACGGGAAGCCGCAGAGGTCGATTTTGCCGCCGTCCCTACAGCTGGGTAAGTCGGCTGCGATACGTCGAATTCAGCTACGCTATTCGCGTAGCTGAATTTGCGTATCTTAAATCGACCCCCCCTTTAGTGAAGACCTGCCCCAAGAGTTGGTCCTGGGGCCCGTTTTGTTCAATTTCTTCATTAATGATCTGGAGGATGGCGTGGACTGCACTCTCAGCAAGTTTGCAGATGACACTAAACTGGGAGGAGTGGTAGATACGCTGGAGGGTAGGGATACGATACAGAGGGACCTAGACAAATTAGAGGATTGGGCCAAAAGAAACCTGTCGAAGTTCAACAAGGACAAGTGCAGAGTCCTGCACTTAGGATGGAAGAATCCCATTCACTGTTACAGACTAGGGACCGAATGGCTAGGAAGCAGTTCTGCAGAAAAGGACCTAGGGGTTACAGTGAACGAGAAGCTGGATATGAGTCAACAGTATGCCCTTGTTGCCAAGAAGGCTAACGGCATTTTGGGCTGTATAAGTAGGGGCATTGCCAGCAGATCAAGGGACATGATCATTCCCTTCTATTCGACATTGGTGAGGCCTCATCTGGAGTACTGTGTCCAGTTTTGGGCCCCACACTACAAAAAGGATGTGGAAAAATTGGAAAGAGTCCAACGGAGGGCAACAAAAATGATTAGGGGGCTGGAGCACATGACTTATGAGGAGGAACTGGGATTGTTTAGTCTGCAGAAGAGAAGAATGAGGGGAGATTTGATAGCTGCTTTCAACTACCTGAAAGGGAGTTCCAAAGAGGATGGATCTAGACTGTTCTCAATGGTACCTGATGACAGAACAAGGAGTAATGGTCTCAAGTTGCAGCGGGGGAGGTTTAGGTTGGCTATTAGAAAAAACTTTTTCACTAGGAGGGTGGTGAAGCACTGGAATGGGTTATCTAGAGAGGTGGTGGAATCTCCATCCTTAGAGGTTTTTAAGGCCCGGCTTGAAGTCTTGGCTGGTTGTGGTTGGTCTTGCTTTGAGCAAGGGATTGGACTAGATGACCTCCTGAGGTCCCTTCCAACCCTGATATTCTATGATTCTATGCTAGACCTGACTACTATTCAATTAAGCTATCATTTTTGGCTCAGTTTCTTCTAGGAGTTAGGGCTTTAGTTGATATTAACTATTTTCATACTGTTCATTATATATTATGTACTCAAATCCCAAGACAATATGGAAGGAGCATATTTAAAAATAGGTTAGGCCTCTACATAGCTCTGATAGCTAAGGGCCTTATCCTGGAGTAATCTCACTGAAATTAAATGGACTACTCATAGAAGGGCTGCAGAATTGGGCCCAGAATAAGCTATGATGTACATTTCCTTAGTAGAGAAACAAGTTGTAAAGTTCACTGCCTGAGCATATATGCACCAGAGTTAGTACCCTAATAAAATTACTGCAACCGTGGCCAAGTCACATTTATAGCACTAACATGTAATTTTGTCCTAATCTTTTGGGGCCAGCTTCTTAGTTGGGTCTTAATCAGTCAGTCCCCGAGAAATCAATTAGCCTGAAATGCCATGAAAATGTTACATTGGGACATAATTTGGAGGTTCAGAGGCGCCTGCAAACATGGCTCTTACCCAGATAGATCAAAACATACACCTGCTTTTAAAAACAATGTTCTCAGCAGTGCAGCTTTGGTGACTCAACTGAGCAGATTCTGCCCTAGAGTGGATGCATAGAGCTCCCATTGAGCTCAGTGAGAGTCCATGCATGCAATGGACTGACAAATTTGGCGCTTAGCTTGGTTTTGGGATCTAGTAAATGTTATATTCTGTCTGGAATCTATCCTGGTGCTTTGTTCATCCCAACTGAGGCAGTTAAGTGAATTGATATGCCCTAGGGAGGGGGAGAAACAGATATCAAGGTTGGAACCAAAGAAGGGCTCCAGTGGCTTTCTCCTTGGGCAAAAGGAATGGTAGAGCGCGATCTCTGGAGAATGAAGAGGTAATTCTGCAAGCTGAACAGGAGTAGAGGCATTTGCCACCAGGGAAAGTCTTGAGTCAAAACTGCTGAGCAGGCCCAGATGTGAGGAAGTGGGGTTGAGGAACTATAATGAGCCCCAGCTTAGAAGCCAACAGATTTGATGGGGAGGACACAGAATTGGTGAATTGGAAAAATTGTGTGCATGCTTGTTTGTGATAGATAGTGTGTGTTAGAGCATGTCTACACGGTGAGATAGTATGCAGCAATAGGTGTAAACACAGCACAGTAACTGGCCATGTGGACCCAGCTACTGCACAGTAAAAGTTCCCTATGGCACTTTGATCTACTCTGCTTTGAAACAGAAGTAGATCAAAGCACACTTTGGAACTTTCATTGTGTGCTATCAGGGCCCACACAACCAATTAGTGCGCAGCAGGCTAGCATGCTGTGGATTTATACTCCAGCTTGCCACACACTAACTCACTATCTAGACAAGCCCTTAATGTGAGTGCATGCACATATTCAGGATTTATTTTATGTGGGTGTGTCTGTGCGAGAGAGATTGGGTGTGTCCAGGTGTGTGTGTTTTCACTTTTTCTCACCGGTGTCTCTCTTCCCACTGTGAACACAAGCAGTGGGAAAGGGACAAGAGAGTTGGCAGCTTCATCTCTTATCCAGAAGCTGCAGCAGCAAAATATCAAGAGCGGGTGAGAGGAAGGGCTAATCAGCCTCGTATTAAATAATGCCAGCGAGCATCCTTTTCATTATCCAAGTAGTTACAGGTGTGTAGCATATCTTGCAGGGGAATACGACAGGGAGCATGCACAACCATCAGGGGATACTATTATTAATTCAGTCATATCCAGCATGTCCGCAAAATCCCGGAGAGTCAAAGGGTATGGATCAACCTAAGGCTATGTGGGGGTCCAATGGTAAGTGTCTATATGCATTATAGATAGATCTGACCCTCATTTTAGCCTTCTTGTTACTCTGTGAAGAAGCACTTCTTAAACTGAATTCATAAAGGTTTATGTTTGTTGTTCTTCAAGCAAACAGTGGGTAATTTTACACATTATCCATTATTTGTGTGTACTGTGTTAGGACAAGGTAGGAGCACATCTGTTACCAGGTATCACACAGATCTACAAACCATTTCTAATTTATAGAAAGTTTACTTCTTCATAAATATGAAACTTTAATACTGTCTACATGTAAATCCAAATAAGACCATCTGCCGTCATTTCCATGAAACTGGGTAGTTTCATTCTTAGACCTTTGATATATTTGCTGAAATCTTAGTCAATGTTATGAGGAAAACACATTTTAAACGGAGCAAGTTCCTCAGGATAAATAAAGACAATACTGAGACATACAATTATCCAGTACCAGAAAGGTAGGAGACATGTGGAAAAGAACATGAGAAGTTAATGGAAGCAATATTAATTGACTCATGTGCCACTATTCAGTGTTCCATATTTCTTGAAGCAATACTGTAGGATAGTAAAATGCAGCAATATATTCCCCCCTTTCCCACTAGGTCTAACTAGATCAACCTTCCCTGCACTATATATTACAATTATATCTGCTGGATAAGGCATAGCTAGAAGGCTAACTCTTTTCAATATATTGACGGAGTTCAGTTTCATAAATAGGGTATTGACTTATCCCACCACATAGGAAGAAAATACATTAAGAAAAACATTTAAAATCTATGATTGTGGTTTTAATTTTAAATGGGGGAAAATGATAAGCGATTGTTAATACCAATGGTATTTTCAGTCTATGGAAGCAGAGCAATTTCCTGTTCTCTTAATCCAAATAAAAGACACAAAGAATAATATATACAACTTGGAAGGCATAAATTGAACATCAGTTCACAAGCTAACCCGCTCGCTAAACAGACATATTTTTCCATGTATACTGTGTTGTTGTAGACATGTTGGTCCGATGATATCAGAGAGACAAACTGGGTGAAGTAATCTCTTTTATTCGACCTACTTCTGTTGGTGAGAGACACAAGCTTTTGCACTTACACAGACCTGAAGAAGAGCTCTGTGTAAGTATGAACGTTTGTCTCTCTCACCAAAAGAACTTGGTCCAATAAAAGATATTACCTCACCCAGCTTGTCTCCCTACTATTTTTCTATGGCATACACTAAGCTGAATATAGAATACTGTAAATAACTAAAAAAAAACAACCTACCTAGTCTCCAGTGGGATGTTACTGTTGAGTAACCAGTTGTCCTGAGCATGGGCTGGCTCTTGGGTGCTGGCAGGGTGCTCTCCAGAAAGAGAGTGATCAGTAGGAGCAGGGCTGGGGTTGCTACGTGGCGTGAAGTTCCCTCTGTTTAGGGAGTTGATGGAGGCCGCATGATGCTGATTTGGCGTGTGAGCATGTGGTAGTGGAGGTGGAGGAGTTCGAAGTCTTGAATGGTTCTGAAGACCCGGAGGATGATCTAAAACATAAGTAAGTATTTGTAAGGTTCAGGACTCCAGCCAATGTTCATTTCGCACAAGCAGTTCAAAGAAGTATGAAGACTACGGATACGTCTACCCAGGAATTAAACAAATAACTTCCTGGCCTGGGTCAGCTGACTTGGGCTCACGGGGCTTTGGCGGTGGGGCTGTAAATTGCTGTGTAGATGTCTGACCTCGGCTGGAGCCCAAGCTCTGCCCCTCTCCCTCCGGTCGCAGCATCTCAGAGTTCGGGCTCCTGCCAAGCCTGAACGTCTACACAGCCCCGCAGCCTGAGCTCCGTGAGCCCAAGTGAGCTGACCCAGGCCAGCCGCAGTCATGCCGTGGGTCTTTTATTCCACTGTAGACATACTGTAAAAGACCACAGACACAAAATCAAACTCAAAAGACAAACATAGTCGTGTTCTATAAGTTCTAATGAAACATACAATACTTCTATAAAGTGAACAGCAGAACATACAAGAATGTTATAAAGAATCATAGAATATCAGGGTTGGAAGGGACCTCAGAAGGTCATCTAGTCCAACCCCCTGCTCAAAGCAGGACCAATCCCCAGACAGATTTTTACCCCAGTTCCCTAAATGGCCCCCTCGAGGATTGAACTCACAACCCTGGGGTTTATAGCAGGCCAATGCTCAAACCACTGAGCTATCCCTCCCCGCTTAGAACAGGCTTAGAACACTGCAAGAGGTCTGTTCCTATCATCAAATTATTTCTGATCCACAACTGCAGGTGTAATTGCCAGCTTTGTAGTAACTTGTGGATAATTTATTTTGCCCATCTTTCCTGGGAAATTAAGAAAAAAGTAAAAACTGCTAATGGATCTTGTGGGAGATGGATAGCTCAGGGTACTTGGTAACGAGATACAGAATGCTTAACCTCTACATCACTGGTTTCAACAGGTTAACAAGTCATCAACATATCATAGTTGTATGAGAAATGAGATGTTCATCTTAGCTCAGATCCTGCTAACCTGGTGTCCATATCATGCAAAAATACCAAAAATGCCATTAATTCCTGGTCTCAATAGAGAGGTCAAGGACTAAATAGCCACGGAAACTTGGGCATGGTACTTCTAGGTTGCCACTGAAGCCCATGGCAGGGCAATGAAGAGGAGAACCCTTGCTCAGCAACAGACACTAGGCTCTTTACAGCAGGGACCTTTTTTGTGTTCTATGTTTAAAATAAGAACGGCCATACTGGGTCAGACCAATGAGCCATCTAACCCAGCACCCTGTCTTCTGGCAGTGGCCAATGCCAGGTGCTTCAGAGGGAATGAACAGATCAAAATGAAGAAATCTCATTGAGTTATATCACTCCCTGAAAGGGAGATCCCTGTAGCTGAGCCAATCTGTCTGCTGGTTCAGGAGTCCAGCTAGGTGGAATGCATGACTAGCTTGCAGGTGCAGCTCTGCCCAACATAGCAACTTCTCTGCAACTTCTTCCAGATTCCAGTTGTGGATACCTCCCTAGCTCTGGATATCTCCCTACCTACAAAAGCTGCATTTTCCATTTGGAGTCACAAAAGGCAATTGATTACCTGGTTCTTGGATGCTAAAAAAGCTCTGCACAAAGCCATTGAAAACACTTTGAAGTCTGTCCTGAACCATGTATCCTCAGTTGACTGGGATATAAAGAATGTAACCCAGTATCTTCCGCTGGCTTCCAGTGTAATTGCCATAAACTGGGCATTAATTAAGAGCAACACCGATAAACACAGGTATATCAAACTCTCCACATCAGATAAATTCTTACACCAAGATCACCAATCTTTGGGTTCTGTGGAATAGTAAAGCCAACATAATTTGTCTGGAGTGGCGATGGACCCAAAGGACCAGTTACATTAAGGAGGATCTGATAACCTGGGAGATGTAGACCTTCTTGTGCTGTAGATTGGTGAGATAACCTAATTTTATTTGCCAGGTGTCCTGTTTTAGAGATATGCTCCTCTGATGGAAGGACTGTCACTAACTTGGTGTTGAAGAGGGCTCCTAAGTATATTAGCTGTTGATACAAAATTGTGAATGAGTCCTGTGTTCGATTCAGAGTCCTTTATTTTCACTAGATTTGGCAAGACTGGCAAATGAATGAAGCGGTTCCTAGAGAGGGACTGGGAGAACTCCATGGCCTGCTACAAAAAGCACCAGGACCTGTGATTAGAAAGCAGCGGCTTATGCCAAAGGTGACAGCTCATCTAAGTCTCTTCCATTGAAAAATGTTCTTTCTGAGAAGCACCTCTGAAATCTGGAAGAAAACCTTGATGTTAGGTCAGAAGCAATGAACGTTGTTTCAGTCTCTCTGAGTTGACCCCCTTAAACTTATTTAGATGCCTTTAGACTCAAAAGAGTATCAAAAGTGATGAGTGAGATCTCTGAAGGCGTCATTACACTAACTCAGAATCCCTTATCACTGCTTCTTCTTCTTCTTCCATTCCCATCCACCAGGCTGATGATGGGGCCAAATGAAGTTTTTCTACCACTTTCTAACTTGATCAAGCCTCACTGCTTCATTCATATTTAAACTTTTTTGTTCTATGTCATTCTTCACTGTATCTATCCAATGCATCCTTGTTCTCCTCTATTTCTATGTCCTTGCACGCTGGTGTGTATTGCCATATATGGTATCCTTTTGGGATCTATTCTTGACATCTGTCAAAACCATCACAGTCATCTTTCTTGAATATTCTCTAACAGCTTTAATTCTTGGCCACACCATTTTTTCATCTCTTCATTTTTTATTTTTTGCAGTCTTGAAACTTTCACTATTCCCCAAGCCCAGTTCATGTCTGCAATGATAAGCTTTCATTCGTTGATTTCCCTCATATTCTAGCATTCCAACCCGTGAAGCAGTATGGACACAACTGTCTCATATATAAGGCCTTGGCTGAATCAGGAGATGACTGACAAATGATTTCGGCTGAGTTGCGGATAAGACATGGAAAATCATGGAAAAGTAATAATGGACCTTTATTAATTATGGTAATTTGGAAAAGCCAGAGAAGATGTATTTGTTCAAGAAAAATGCACTGGGACAATATAAACACTCAAGTATTATGTTATGACTGCTAATTTTTTTAATAACCAGACATTTTGCTGCAACTATGTTACATTCATTAATGTACGGGGCTGAGAGCCGGAGCCCCGGCTGCCCACAGGGCTGAGAGCCAGAGCCCCAGCCGCCCGTGGGGCTGAGAGCCGGAGCCCCGGCCACCCGCAGGTCTGACAGCTGGAGATCTGCTCGCCTGCGGGCTGACAGCAGGCACCCCACTGCCCCGGGGCTGACAGCCTGAGCCTGCCACTGTCAGCTGAGATAAATGAGGTTCTACTGTACTAATGGGGGGGGAAAGTGTGTTGCAAACCTCAGAATGTATGCAAAATTGTGGACTGTGCAAAGTAAGCTAATTAAAATAAAAATTGCAGTTGAAGCCTAATATTGCAGTTTCCACAATTTCTGCAATATTGCAAATTAAGCAGAGCCTTACTCATATATATGACAGGTTTCAGAGTAGCAGCCGTGTTAGTCTGTATCTGCAAAAAGAAGAACAGGAGTACTTGTGGCACCTTAGAGACTAACAAGCCAACTAACTAATTTGTTAGTCTCTAAGGTGCCACAAGTCCTCCTGTTCTTCATATATATGCTTTTTGTTTTAATTGAAATGTCTTTATTATTCCAGCTCTTGCAGAGTTTTTTTTGAATGCACTACCAGCTAGTCCAATTCTTCTTTTTATGCCATCTTCACAATTCCCATTTTTTTATGCTAGTCCTTCAAAGCACACACATTTTTCCACTTCTTTGCCTTTGAGTTTGAGCTTTATCTCTTTCTCTTGTCTTCCAATTGCCATAATTTCTGTCTTTTTTGTGCTGATCTTCAATCCAAATTTTCAGCTTTCCCGGCCTACCTTGTCAGTTATACTCTGTAAATCCTCCTTGGTCAATTCTTACCACTAATTACAAACAACTCTATCAATGTGTCAAGGAGTTTAAGCTGGCCTAACATATACACGGATAAGTCAGATGCAAGAGTAAGTTAAAGTAGTTGCCCCTATTTTAACTTATACTTTCTTCCAGATCCTCAGTTTGTAAAAGTTAAGCCAACTTGTGTTCCTTACACATGGGTAGAGTGGGTATAAATAAGTCTAGGGGAGTTTAACTGAGTGTAAGGGAACCTGACTTATCCTTAAACTCACCCCAAACTGGTAACTCCACAGCTAGATCTTCAGCCTGGTTGTCATGCAGAATTTTTCTAGAAAAGGGAAGGTCCATGATCCTGGCTTGTTTGCCATCCAGGTATATAATAAGGAGGGACTGAAGAACAGATGCAAACCAGGCCTGATTCAAGTCCTGTAGTACCATGCAGACTGGACCATCAGAGCATGCTGTGAGCCTGGTGGATCTTGGGGAATCCCACTTGTTTGCAGTGCTGGGAATGAGGTTGGCAGTAAAGGACACCAGAAAAACTGCGTCTCTGATTTAGACAATCCAGTGACATAGCCTAGGAATGTTTCTCTCTCTCCTCCCGCTTCAGAAGATGCAACCACCCTTTTTTCTGCAGCAGCAGAACACATGTCCAATCTACTGAGAGGTAGAAGGAAGACAGGCATGTAGGCAAGGTGCACGCCAACAGATGCAGTCTTAGGAGCCAAAAATCCAACCTGCAGGAGAATCCATCTATTTAAGAATAGAAGGTGACAAGGAACAGCCTATTAGTTGCAGACTGAGGGAGAGAAACATAAATAGAGGACTTCTGTTTCTAGTGCTCTCAATCTAGCACCTTTCAGAAGAACTGGATTCCAAATCCAGTTATTCCAGTTTTCATTACAAATGATGGCTGACATTTATGGAAAGGTGCAGGAGGCAAAGGAAGGCAAACAGATGAATCCCAGTATGCACAATGTGTCTTTTGTAACATTCCTCTAGTATTGGCTGACTCTTTCTATTGGAGACATTAATTTAAGACTCTGAGTCAGAGCCTATTTCTAAA